CAACTCTCGATTTAGTATTGCGCCCGCTTCACAATATCTTTTAAATACAGACATACTGTACATACTCGAACATACATACATACATATGCACACATATTTCTTTAAAGTACATTTATGAAAAGGAGCACAAAGCACGAAGTTGTCGAAAAATATTTCGATATTTCGCAAAGAAGCTCCAACACAAGTGAATCAAACTTCTTACAACTAAGCCCGTTCTCTAACAAGAACTTTAAAATAATTTTAAATTAAAAAAAAAAGAAGCGCAATGCAACATCTGGCTCCGACTTCTTTCTAATCTGGTTCGGCTACAATAAGTGCAGACTCTGCCTTCATTTTCTGGACAAATAGGCCACTTCATCTCCAGACTCTCTTGGGCAAAGTGCATGCAAGAAGGGCTCGATGAAAGGTCCCGACAAAGTCAAAGGCTGATATCATCCATCCACCCATCATCCATAATCTAATAACTATTTTTGTTTAGCAGAATCTTCTCTACTATAGGTACAAATTCTCCACGAAGAACAGTCTTCTTCTACATTCTTCTTTGGTAAAACTTTTTTAAAGAACAAGAAAGTAAGATCCTCAATTAAATGATTTTCTATTAGTCTGGAATTCTTAAAAATCAATTTTTGTAACAGAGATCTCTAAATTATTTGTAAAGAACGTTAATTTCCATGTATTGCAATCCGTTACAAGGAACTAGTTAGGTTATATTTGGGTATTCTATTAAGAAAAATTAGCTGTTTCTTTTAACCGAACTGGAAGTTTGAAGATAGATTTTCTAACACAATGATACCAAATCTAATTTCTAAGAAACAAAATCCCTCTATATCTGGAAAGTCTTGGAAAGTTTTTCAAGTGCAGCAAATTTATTTACAGAAATATTTATTTTCAATTTAGCTTTGTGATAGCGATTGACTACGAATACGACGAATATCGACTGGAAAGTGAGCTATTGTAGAATATCGCGTCAGACATATCAGGCTATTACTTACGACGCTTCATCGAACACTAATTTGTAGTAAAAATAGGAATCTGCTGTTTAATGAGTTCCATTTAAAGAAAGATATGTAATGGTGGAACTAAACTTAATCTAATTCCAAGCTATCTCATAAAATACATAATAGGAATTTATGCAAAATGTAATCTAAATTGTTGAACATTCTTGGGTTCAGACGTACTATATGTGTTAAAAAGCTTCTGAAATGTAGAAATGTTAATACGGAAAAACAGAAACAGCAGTTTTATTTGCCCTCCAAAATTGTGAAAGGTCGCGAATTTTTAGGTAACTAACGAAATGTAAAATGTAAAAATTAAATTCTCTTCCTACCTTGCTTTTGCGTTTGTGTTGTTTTTGTTGTTTAGGAATGTACGAACAGTGAAATGAAGTTAGAAAAGAATAAAATATTTTACGTAAATAAAAGAGGAATGTACACTATTGATCTACCCGAAGGAAACCTCGATAGTAGCCAACAGTTCTTTGCAAATTCTAGTCTACATCAAGGAGATGGATCACTTAAAAAATATAGAACCAACTTGTGACATAGCAATAACAATAATCTACAAAATTGTTTCAAGTTTTTCTACTCGTAGTATAACTATTTCATGAAGTAACAAATGAATTGTTTTTGCTTTCAAGGCAGCTGTTAATACGGGAAACTTCTAATATGTTATCTGCAAACCTTGTACGAGTATACTAAATACGCTAGACTGTATGATTACTGATTTACATTTCGAGGGAATGGTGTAAAGCCGAAAACTATTTTAGGCGCAATTTCACGTACTTGACATAAATAATATTCGTATACATACATATGTACATATGTACATGAGTATATACACGTATATAATATATACGTACGAGTATGTATGTATTTACCGAATATGTTCGTGCACTCTCACAATGTTAAGCCATGGCCAGTAAGTTGTCGAACATTTGACGTCATTGTTGTGTGCATTGCGCTTTTGAGCACTGGTCGTTCGGTTGCGTCCGTCCGTCCGACCGTCCGTCTGCTGTTCATGTCACGTGTGTCAAGTTCAAATGTCGAACGTGTCAAATTTAATTGGTTTCTCATTGTGATGTTGGAATGACTGGGCAATGGGTGAATATTGCTTCTATTGTTGCTATTATTGCCTCTATTGTCGCTTATCTACACAAACTATAAGTTAAAAATATAAAACAAACGAAAAAACTATACACTTACACTCGTACATATGTTAAGCCTTAAGTGAACCGCAGACATAAGGAAGCGCTTGTGTCGATAAAAAAAATGTTTGTTATGGCTTTTTGACAAAGTTCAAAATTATGTTTATGGCATGGGGGAACTCTGTTTAATATCTACGTACAATAAATCTAACGTGGCTTATAGATTATTAATGTGGCTGTTAATGCTATACGTACTCGTATGTCTGACCACCTTGAACTCGGTTGCTTTAAAAGCTAGGAAGTCCAACTTGGATGTAAACCTTATGAGGCTTATCGACTAGTGTTTCGGGCATTTTCGAAATGCCATTATATCTGTGACAGTCAAACAATAGTTCATACATTTTCTATGATTATTGATTTCATGATGAACTTTTTTCTCAAAATTGTTTATATACGAGCCTATTAATTGGTACGGCAACTTGTTTTCTTATTGTACTGCTTATGAAGCTTTTATTTACATATGTCTGGGTGCTGCGTGCTGACGACAGCACATACAAGTTTAGTTTGTTTTTTATTTTTTAGAAAGGGTATTAAATTATTTATTAATCAAACATCATCTTTGATGCATGCCATACTTCGTTAACCAAGAAAAGCCCACAGCTTTGCAAATTAAACAAGCCCGACAGTGAAATGCCCGTCAGCCAGACAAAATAACACAAAACGAAAAAAAGTAGAGCGACTAAACTAAACTTGTGTTGTCTGGGGATTGGATGAATCTGCATACCAAGATTGGTGAATGTGGGTTCAACCGTTTTCGAAATCCAGACGTTCATACAGACAGACAGGCGAAAGAACATGTCTAGCTCGATTTGTCTCGTAATGTCTACTTCATTGATTCGAAAGTGCCTGCACAAACCTAAGATGGCCGCTTCAGAAGATCAAATCAATTCAAATTTCGAAAAATGCTGCGCCTCCAAACATTAGAAAGACAATCGTCGGGTTTCAAAATGAAACCACACTTTTTCTGGAACTAAATGGTTGTAAGATGTATCAATAAGGTTTCTTACAAAAAATCTCACCAAGATTGTTTACATTAGTTAACAATTTTAATTCTTATTCAACAAAATAACGTAATGTATGCATTTCGTTCGTTTCCATTTAAAAGACAGACTCTTCTGAATCATTTCTATCACCAAAGTAGTCTCAATCGGCAAGTTATTTTCTCATTGTTAATCCCAACCCTATTTCCGAGAAACATTTATAATTTAAAGAAATCAAACACAATGCCTTGAAGCCACAGCTATTTATATTCTTTCGAGAAAAAGCTGTGCGGTGGGTTTTCGACTTAGATTCTACAATCGAATTGCTCAGAAGGGTTCGAAGCAGCTCCTCAGTCAAAACTCTGAGTACACTAAAACTATCACGAGAGCTACGTGTGCATCATCAAAAGCGTTTTGGCCTTGGCCGAGCATTTCCGGTTTTTCGCTAAGCTGTTGCTGCTCAAGGGAGGGGTGGGGGATAGGTGTTGAAGAAGAAGAGCCACAAAAACTTTAATCAAAGGTGTTATGACGCGTTGGCAACAACGTGTATTTGATTTCATTTATCCACTTCTTTATTGTCTCGTATTTGTACAAAGTGTGCTGCATTTTGTCAAAGTGCCAGTGAAATCGAAATTATAAACATGTGGGTACGAGTATGTCATAATGCCAGATATAGCCAGATGCGCGCATCATGCTCTGCCTGATATATATCTGTGTATGTAGAACATACTACAAGCAGAAGGGAGAGATAGTGCCAACATTGAAGGTAGATGTCACGATGACATCGTGAGCTATTCATTTACAGACGGACGGCGCGTGTTAAATGTTGAGAGTATTGGACCTACTTGTATTATAGGCGGGCATTAGTTGAAGAATTTAACAAGTAAGTGATAAGCTTTAGAATGTGGCATCGATAACGTAGAAAAAACGCTGCAAAAGATCCTTTTGTTTGTTTTGGTTTGGAAAAAAAAAAACCCTGAAAACTCTGCAGTTTAAACTGGATTTTGTTCTATTTGATTATTGGCTATTAAATTGATATTAAGAAAATTATTTCATTTCAGATATTAATAACTTCTTTCAATGAATTCTAAACATTCTGTAATAGTTTAATGAAATAAACTTATCTCATCTTTTTGAAAAAAAAAAGATGATTTCAAATTGATATTCTGTTGTAAATCATTAATTTTTAATTGAATATTTAATGTTTGCATGAATGATTGAGTTTTAAAACAAATTGTCAAAGCTATACATGCTTTATTTATAATCAATTTTGAAAACGATTTTATTTTGTCAATGAATCAACCATTTTTTTTTTTGCTGATTTGTTTGAAAATTGTGGCAATTAGGTATATGTTGGTTTTAAATTGATTTTCTTTTGTAAAGTTATGCAAATAGCCTTTTGGTTCTGAATAATTGCCATTAAGTTACAAGTTTGATTTCTGTTTGGTTATACCTATATACCTATATACTCAAGATAATATGGCATGTATAGTATATGTTTAGTGTGGATTCCTTAATGATGCACCTATTGTATTGTATTAATCATTCGTATAATTGAAGCTTTATCTTTGCATTTCGTTTTATGCTCACTTTGCAAATTGTGCGTTTTAGTCATCAACCGATCTTGATAAGTGGCTGCTATAGCTGTATAAAAGATCTGGCTGGGTGCGTTGGAGCAATCAGTTGCCTGCTTTCTCGGCCGTTAGTCGCACGTGCGTCATTTGCAATTTGATTCTAAGGAGAACTAAATCTAATAATTATGAATTCATATTTCTTGAGCTGTTTTCTGACTCTCAATTTGATTTCTTTCTTTGCAGCTATACCCTCCCATTAAATATTAACAGCCGCCCAATTTTGTTTCATTACAATTCCACTAACAACAAAAACAACGACAACAACAATCAGAGCCAGGAGAAAAGACAAGCAGCAAAATGTCGCCAAAATCGGTAAGTCCATATTTATATAAACATGTGTAGATATATACTATATATATATACTTATATGTATTGTGATAACAATTAATTATGGGTCTTATGCAATCTGAATACGTGAAGAAACTTTTATTTGTCTTCGACACACACACACACACACACACACAAACACACAATATCTATCGGGAACAAATTGTTGGAAAGTGATTCCAAAGTTAAAGTTGATAACGAGAAACACGTTTATAAATTATCATACATTATCTAGTGCTTGAAGTTTTTGTTGCCGCAAGCCTCGCCCGCTTAGGAAATATGTATAGGAGTATATGAATACTCTTTGGTTAACTCTCGGATGGTCTTGCTTATCTTATTTCTAACTTGATCAGATAGCAAGATACTGAGTATGGCAAACTGTACAAAATTTCAGAAGTCAACTACTTATACATATATTTGGGGAACAGATCACGTCTGGAAAACTAACAAAGACATGTCTAGAAAATTATGTGCCACCTAATATGTTGTATGACCAATTCCGTAGATTTAATAGTGTAGCTAATAGTTTGTTTTATGCTTCAGAATATTTCTAAATCTTTTAAGTTATCTATATAGTTGGACGATCCGAGATCTCACAGAAAGCTTGAAGTCATAAGACTGTTTGAAATAGAAATAAATACGAGTAGATTCAGGAAAAATATGGATATTAAAAGCGATCGTAATAGCTAACGAATTGGTTATTTTTTTAGGATTATAAGTTCATCTCTGAGATTTTACATAACATTTTTTTTATATACATATATAAATCTTTAATCTTTATAAGTTGATCTCTGAGATCTTACATTACATTTCAATTCGAAGCGTAGGACAATATCTTTAGGTTGACTCACTGGATTGCTCAGATCTTTGAGAAACTTCCAGATTGGTTCGCATGACTGATAGATTGATGGACGACTAATCTGAGGTTTTTCGCGTCATTAGTCGCGAACGTCAACAGCAGCTTGCCAATTTCTGCAGTTGTACTTTCAATTCGAAAATTGTGCCACATATTTGGACAATTTTGACAAGTAGCAGACACACACACACATACAAGTACATATATAAATAGGCGCACTTATCTTGATAAGTTGCTGCGATTTTAATTTGGCATTTTGCCAAAGATACGTTTGCCGCTGCTGACGTCATATCGTGCGACTTGGCTATATGACGTGTGTCGGTATCGAAAAGACGTCACTTGGCCACTAAATTTAAAGACGGCCCACTAGAAAACTAAATGGAAAGAAGAAGATGGCACAAAAGAATGAAAAATATAATGCCCTGTCGCCCAAGTGTCAACTGCCAATAAATTTAGTTAGATTTCGTTTGAATGATTGGCAAGTGCGGCAAGTGGTTGGCGAACTGAACTGAACCGAACTGACTGAACAATTTGAACGTTATCTTTTTCTTTTTTTAGTTCAAGTTGGCACAGTCGCACCCAATTTCATGGCCTCTACATATTTTATAATAGCACGCATTTTATTTGCATAGTCATCAGAGTTCCTTCAGCTCGGAATTTTTGCTTACCCAGTATTTTAGGTGAGCCGAGCCGAACCGAGCCGATGAGGAAATGCGTGAGTGAGTCACATGCTGTGCTATTTGCTTTCTAGGCTTGGTAATTGCTTCTAATAGGCCCACAGTCGGCAAGCAGTCTTTAGTATTGGATTGTGGGCCACACGGCGTATGATTGACGCGCGCTGATTTGTTTGTCTTGTCTTACACCTGGGGGTGCGGGAGCAGGTGCGTGCGCCCCAAAAACTAATCATTGCCGCTGAAAAATCCAATTTACTGAATAATCAATGCATGCATAATAGAATCTTAATTGAGGGTTTTTCTATTTTTATTTATCACTACTTCTGATAACGTTTGTATTTAAAACCATTGTTCAAACAATTTCTGCTGGCATTTATAACCGACAAAATTAAATAAATGGCCATATCTCGCCAACTTGTTTTTATAGGTTTGTGTTATTTTTGTTGAGCGAACAGGGATTTCCATTTCTTCTTTGAAAGTAATCCCCATTTCCATCGTTCATTTGTAATAAAAACTTATTCATTTGTAAGGTTTTACTATGATGTCAGCTTTTTAAGCTCCATTTCGACAATGTTAGTTTGAAAAATGTATCGTTTCTTTTAGGGACGGGGAAATTCTGAAAGGATTACAGAAAACATTTCATCGTAGATTGTTCCAGAGCAATTGTATCTTAACCCTTAATGAACAAGAAATAAATTGAATTAATTTAACCTATGCAGGATAACTTGTTGGAAAGCTGTTATGCACAGATTTCTTGTTGCCAGACCGGATGACTATATTATAAAGCTGCCAAAGAACCTATTAGTCAAGTTAGTTGTTTTACTTCATTGTTTCTAAAGCTATAGCTAGCAATTCTTGATAATCTTGCAATATATACTTCATTTCGATTGGAATCGAACCTCTATATCATAAAGCTAGCATAGAAACGATCGCGTTAAAACAGCTGTTGTTTGTTGTAAAATTGCTTCTTTATGATGAAGTTCTATAAAACAATAAATAAAATAATCAATAATTCAAATCAAAAAGTTGGTCCTTAATTGTTGGCTTTTCTTAATCAATAATGCTCAAATTATTGAGGAAAATAATTTGTACTCTACTGTGTACGAGTGTACCTCAAAAAAGCTAAACTAATTGTTAGATAAATTAATCAAGTGCAACATTTCTCGATGGTATTACAACTTTTGCTCTTCTTGATGGCATTTCAAGGGTACTTCGATATATATTTTCTCAGCATGACTAAAATCGAACGCTTTACATCGAAAACAATCGCTTGCTCGGTAATCGATACATCGATGTGTCCTGCAATGGTGGGAAGCAAATGTAGGAATTAGTTCTTTTTTAAAATTCAGTATCTTTTTTAAATTCCTGCAACACATTAAGCAGCTGGCTTCCATTGATTGAAATGTTTCCAAACTATAAAAGTGCTATTGAATGAATGCATATTTTTGGCCTAGTAGCTCAGCTCCATTGTCTATTTTAAAGCACGTAATTGATGTGAAATTATTTCAAAAATAAATACTAGTATAACTGACCTCAACCACTGCAGTGGTTTGTGCTTTTGAAAAGTGTTGTTGTATTGCGTGGGTCACTTTCACAGTTCAACTGATGGATGGGCAGGCCGGGGGGCCACACAGACAACAGCGAACACAACCGTTAGAGTCGTGCGCCTTGTTGTTGCTGTCTATTTCACCTGCCTGTCTGTCTATTTGCCTGCCTGCCTCTCCTCTTCTCTTCCTCTCTCCCCACTCGGCCTGCCAGTTTGTGTGTCTTTCTGTCTATTTTGCTGTGAAAATGCATAGTTTCTGCTGTCGTCGTTTGTGTTGTTGTTGCTGCTGTTGTTGTTGTGGGTGGCCAACCCCTGGGCCTGGCACTTTCTATCAGTGGGAGAAAAGACCCCATAGACGTGCGCAGACCCCCAGACCTGTAGACCTGCAGACCAGACAATAGGAAAATAGAAAAACAAGCAAATTAACTTAAAACCTCGCATTGTGCCTTCATTGCGTTTAGTTGCTTTTGGACAACAGAACGACGCGGCTGTATATTCCACGAATCACAGCAAAATCAATCAATTTTCCGATCTATATGCACATACATATACATGAACATATATATGTGCTCTCATATATATAATTGCTCGATTTCCATACTTATATTCACCTTGTTGTGAATTTTTTTTCCATTTAACATTTTGTGCAAGTGCGGTTCGCGCCAAAATCGTAATAATTCAAAAGTTACTGAAAAATAGTTTCCTGCCCAAAATGGTCGTCTCCGATAGTCGCGTGCGTCTGCCGCGCTATAATGGCAGTGTAAAGCATAAGACGGTGCGTCCAAAAACATACAATATACATGTGCTTTTTGGGCAGATCAGCCATACTGAGGCATCGATTTTAAATATATTGTTTTAAAATTAATTAAACTCGCATGCATGTGTGTCACTAAGTCGCCAAACGCGGGCAACAATCTGCGGCTAAATGCATACTTAAATCGGCAAATAATGACCATGAATAAGCCCTGACATAGCCGGAAAGTAAAACAAGTCATCTGCTTTAGATTGAAAACAAACAAAAATTATGTTTTATTTTGAAAACGTTTTTTCTTTTACGTTTTAGAAATCTATTTGACTTTGTTTAATTGGTATTGCTTTTCGACTTTTTTGCATTGTTTTTTTTTTTTAATTTCTGGTAAAAGTTTTTTTTGCACTCTTCAAATTATTTTTGTAAATATTTATTGTATTTTAAAATTAATAATATTATTATTATACACTATAAAATATATTTAGTATTTTTATTTATTTATTATTTCTATTTAATTATTATAATTGTTTATTTTTTGTATTTTATTATTTTTTCAAATGTAATTTTATTTGCTTTTTATTTTTTATGTATTTTTGTTCGTATTTATTTTAATAAATTTAATCTTTAGATTTATATAGTATTTTTTTTATTCATATTAGTTTTTGATTTATTGTATTTTTGTTTTGTGTGTGTTTTTTATTACCAATATTTATTTAATTTTGTTTTATTTATTAACGGTTTTTAATCATAGTTTTTCTTGTGTATTTTATTATGATTTTTGTTTTGTATTATTTGATTCCCTCGCCAAAGGTGGTTCTGTTTTAATGGCGGTTTCCGGTTCACCGGGCAGCAATTTTTGAATTTTATTTTGATATGGTTGCTGACTGGCAGCAATAATTTGTCGGCTGCAGCAGCAGCAGCAATTCAAATGTGGCAATAACCAACATTGCAGTATGTAGCAATCAGAGAGCGGCAACAAAAACCAGACATAGTTGGAGCTTGAACTGGTTATGTCGAGAGCTTGAATTCGCTTCCGTTGTCGCTTTTGGCTCAAACTGTGGATTATTGCTTCGATAGATGGATGCTATGAGGATTAGAAGAAGAGGAATGAGAAATGAAATTACTGGAGATATTTGAATTTCTATCAAATATTTCATTTTTTTCCTTAACCTTTATTTATCATTTCGTTGAAACTCTGTTTATTTTTTGGAAAACTTTCAATATATTAGGAAAACAATTATGTACAAATGTGTATTTTTGAAAGACACGTTGCAGAGAAGTTTCACTGTAGTTTGTAATTTGCACACCTGCAGATACAGATACAGATACAGACACACATAGGTACGAGTCACAAACATCGGAAGAGGGGAAGTGCGATATATGTATATGGCATGGCATACACACGTACTCGTACATGTGCATTAACCCAAAAACGTTAATTGGATTGAAGTGAACGTTTTCAATTTCCTTACATTGTGTCACGTTTGATTTGCATTGCGAAACAAAAATAACAAAAACAAAAGCAAATCAACTGCCTTATGTTATTGTTGTTATTGTTATCGTCAACGTAATTTTTGTTACTCGGACGAATGACGGTCACAATCACTATTATGCCTTTTTTTACATATATAGAATTATCAAGAAAATTGCAAAGCAATTCACATACAAATATATACAGTCTTTTCAGTGTTTTACTTTTCATAATTTCATAAAAACACTATCTAGAATTAATTTAATTTCTTGAGTTTCGCCAGTATTAGAGCTATGAGTGTGAAATGATTCAATTTTTAGAAGATAAGTTTATTCTCATAAAAATATATATACTTGTAGTCTTTTCAATGGCAGACAAACGTTTCCAAACTAGAGCTCTAAATGAGTTAAGCAGGTGTTTTTCAGTTCTTAAAAAGAATTTATTATCTTAACACTCTGATTAAATTTCTTCAACTTTATATTCCTGTACTGTAGTTGGTCTGCAATATTAGGGCTCTGCACGCATTCAGCGCAAACTGATTTAATTTTTACGAAGCAAGTAGGGGAAATATCACCGCCATATTAGGAATATCGAGCTGGATCTATGAAAAAACAAAGACGGTTAGGTTGTGGTGAGAACCCTGGAGAATCCACGTTCATGATCATTGCTCACATTTGAATCAATCTGCACTTATGGCGCCTTCACGTGTCATGAGTATAGCCAACTGCTGCACACTTTGTGCACATTGTGAATCCCCTTTTCCCCCGGTCGGTTGTTCAACACTTGCATAAGCTTGGCTTAAACGCAGGTGCACGTTTTCAACCGGTCAAAAGATGATGGGCGAAAGGAAAACCGGCGCCTGTAACCCCAACTAAGCCAACAACAAGCTACCAAAAACAGCAACAAAGCAAAGTGTAAAACAGACAAGTTGGGCGCAGTGTCTATAAATGTGTATGATTGTGTGTGTGTGTGTGCGGGGAAAATCGCGCTCGGAAAACGCAAAACCAATCAGCCGTGACAATAACAACAACAGCAACAGAAAAATTGACAGCAATGCGACAACAAGCCGAGATATTTAAAGATAGAGATAGGCATACAGGTTAGTAGCCAGGCAGGTTAGAGAGCTGTTCGGTTAACTGACGAACTAACTGTTACACAAGCGTGACGGTCGTCGCTGTCACATGGGGCCAACGCACCGCTGGGCGAACGATTCGTGTTTTAGTAAAAGCTTCATATATGCACATTTCTCTATATGCCTATAACACATAAGCCTCGCATCTATCGTATTACATACAGTCTAGAAGTTTTGTAGAGGTCTTATTTAATATTTATTTTAAATACTATGTCGAAAATAATAATTTCTAATATTTTATCGACATTTCACCCCTTTTTCGGGTCGAATTTCCTACTTTCTTACGTTTCTCACTACAAACAGGGCATGGAAGCTATTGAACATGACTGGGAAAGGTATTTTGAACTTAAAGCAGACGATGTAGAGAAATAAAGACACTGCTTCTGCGACTACCTATGGATATTACTTATTTATTTGGGTTTGAAGCATTAATTACTTTTCAAACTCGTCATTTTTTAAGGCCTATTTATAACACTTAATTTTTTCTTGAATTTTTGAAGGCTAAATTTATACTTTAAAAACATATTTTTTACAAGATGTAGACATTTGTACGCTTGACTGTACATTTGCATACTCATATGGGTACAGGTGTATGTCATTTAAGCAATTTTTCAATTGCCAACGCTCCGCTTTGTCACTTGTTTTCTATTTGTTGTTGTTATTGTTATTGTTGGTTATTATTGGTATTGTTTGTTGTAATGAAAGTGACGTTGGCAGCCACTGGTTGCCAGCTTGGTCAGCAAGCAGTGGGGAAGGGAAGGGAGGCGAGGCGAGGCGGGCTGGAAAATGCGCTTTCGCACGACCCCAAAAGCAAACTCACACACACATGCATTGATGCATTTACTCACACATGGCTAGTGGCCGAAAACAATAACAACAACGACGACAACAACAACTACTTATGCCGATTATGCAATTGGTCCATCAACTAAATCACACTAATTCATGAAATCTTTTGCTTTCTCTTTCCCTCCACCACCTCAGCTAAATGTGCGCGTCACGACAATGGACGCCGAACTGGAGTTCGCCATCCAGTCGACGACTACCGGCAAACAATTGTTCGATCAGGTGGTCAAGACCATCGGCCTGCGTGAGGTTTGGTTCTTCGGACTGCAGTATACCGACTCAAAGGGTGATTCCACATGGATCAAGCTATACAAAAAGGTAAGCACACAGTAATTCCTGTATACTCATAAATAGATCAGCATATTTTCCAAGAAATTCGTAGCATCACATTTATTGCATGAAATACGTTTCCAAGAGAAATATTATCTGTCGGCTTTTTAGCAAAATCTCTGATTATTGATTTTCTTTTAAATAGAATTGTTTGTTTGAATTAATCTTTGAGTTAAAATTAAAGTTACAATTTCCAAATTATTGTCTTATTAACCCCGATTCACAGTTTACTGACAGAAAAAGAAACAAATCTCTCCAATGTTTGTCTCTAAACACTCCATTTTAAATAAGTATGATCGTACTCGTATAAGGAATATATTTTTCAGCTTCGACTTGTTCTATTTAAATTCAAATATAGTTTTTTTTTTAACTTGATTCATTGACAACAATTAAAGCCAGAGTTTTTTTTTTAAACATAAATTTCATTCTCAACTTTATTTCGTTTTTGAAATCCAATTAAAATTTCATGTCAGCAATAAAATATTGGTTTGTTAAAATTGATACACAGTAAACAATGCAACCGCTGGCAGATCAATAGCTAGTGGGTTTCTACGCATTCTTAACTTTTATTATTCTTCGACTATAGATATCGTTTTACCCGATCCTCTCATATAACTTGTGCAGCAATTCAAAGGGTGGCTTTATAATATTTTGTTTTTTATGGGTTGCCTTTTGTCATTTGAGTTCTGTGGATTAATAAAATGATTTCTGTACTTCAATCGTGGACTTCACACTTAGCCGGAATCGCCGGCCATAAAGACCATAAAATATTTGAAACGCGTGAAGAAATATGTGGATAAAAAGACCGCCGACAGCAATGGACACAATCAGACTGAGGAGAGCGAAGAGGATGATGATGCTGATGATATGGTGGGGCGCGTTTCAAATTCTATTCCCCTCTGCATTTGTATTTGATGATGCGACCACCGAGATCAGAGATGATCTACTTAGAAATGCCAGAACCTCAAACGTACTTCCCTACTAGTTTGTTGCTTAGCTTGAACTTGATTTTTGCTTGCATGTCCTCCGTTTTTAAGCGTCCTTAGTGTTTGAATAGATGTTGAAACAATTCACGCTCTCTCATTATCTAAGATCGTTATTATAAATGATATTGATTCTTTATGATACATGCTGCGCACTTGTACACAGACTGGATCAATGCCGTTTTCCACATGGGTAACAAAACGATACAAATATCGATAAGCTCCCCACCTTATACCCCCAACCAGAACTCACCCCACCAACCATATCCAAAAAAAAAAAAAAAAAAACAAAAACAAACCCAACAATAATTTAAGAAATTGAAAAATTTTATTTAAATTAATGATTATGTTGCTTTCCTCCTTTAGGTGATGAATCAGGATGTGAAGAAGGAGAATCCCTTGCAGTTCAGATTCCGCGCCAAATTCTATCCGGAAGATGTGGCCGAAGAGCTCATACAGGACATCACACTGCGCCTGTTCTATCTGCAAGTGAAGAATGCCATATTGACCGATGAGATCTATTGTCCGCCCGAAACATCGGTGCTGTTGGCCTCATATGCGGTTCAGGCCCGTCACGGTGATCACAACAAAACCACCCACACAGCCGGTTTTCTTGCGAACGATCGCCTGTTGCCACAGCGCGTCATCGATCAGCACAAGATGTCCAAGGACGAATGGGAGCAGTCGATAATGACTTGGTGGCAGGAGCATCGCAGCATGCTGCGCGAAGATGCCATGATGGAATACTTGAAGATTGCCCAGGATTTGGAAATGTACGGCGTCAACTACTTTGAGATACGCAACAAGAAGGGTACCGATTTGTGGTTGGGCGTCGACGCTTTGGGCCTCAACATTTACGAGCAGGACGATCGATTAACGCCCAAGATCGGTTTCCCTTGGTCCGAAATTCGTAATATTTCGTTCTCGGAAAAGAAGTTCATCATCAAGCCGATCGATAAAAAGGCGCCCGATTTCATGTTCTTCGCCCCACGCGTCAGGATCAATAAGCGCATCCTTGCACTCTGCATGGGCAACCATGAGCTGTACATGCGTCGTCGCAAGCCCGACACGATCGATGTTCAGCAGATGAAGGCGCAGGCGCGAGAGGAGAAGAATGCCAAACAGCAGGAGCGGTAAGTACCTAATCCGTTATAATACCGTACAAACCCCTAACTGATCTCCTCTAATGCGTTTCTAGCGAGAAACTGCAGTTGGCCTTGGCAGCACGTGAACGCGCCGAAAAGAAGCAGCAGGAGTATGAGGATCGTCTTAAGCAAATGCAAGAGGAAATGGAACGCTCGCAGCGCGACCTAATGGAGGCGCAAGAGATGATACGTCGCCTGGAGGAGCAACTGAAGCAGTTGCAGGCCTCCAAGGATGAGCTGGAACTGCGCCAGAAGGAGCTGCAAGGTATGCTGCAGCGCCTCGAGGAGGCCAAGAACATGGAGGCCTACGAGAAGGCCAAACTCGAGGAGGAGATCATGGCCAAGCAGATTGAGGTGCAGCGCATACAAGACGAGGTCAATGCCAAGGATGAGGAGACGAAACGCTTGCAGGACGAAGTCGAGGAGGCCAGACGCAAGCAGGTAAAATATAAATAGATATTCTTTCGCAATACTTGAAGCACTTGCCCAATTTCGATAACACATTCCATAAATCAATGAAAATTTATATCAAGGCTAATGTTGTGATCAGATAGGCAAATAATTTGCACACAAATTCGTCATATGTATGCCTAGAATGGTAAATCCCATGGAGTTTTTATTATTGTAATTAATTGTTTTAATTGCTTTAATTATTAATTGATTTAGTTTGTTAGTTGATGTTTTAAGACTATTTTTCGATCGAATTTGCCAGAATTTGCACACAAATTCGTATTATTTTGCATGCGGGCTTTGAAATGTAAATTGCAAACCTCTTTTGTTATTGTAGATGACAACTATAAGAATTCTGGTTTAAGATTTCTATTGGTTTTGTAGGTTTTATAACATATTCATGAATAATTGTGAAATTTGAGAAATTTGCTCGCAAATTATTTGCCTGTTTGACCATATCTTTAATATATATTTCCCAATACTGAGCGTAGTTTCGGAATTAATTACCAAGTATTAGCCATTATCTGACGATTAACTAATTTTGTACTCTTTCTGGAAATGTGTAGGCTGAGGCCGCGGCTGCGCTGTTGGCAGCTTCCACCACGCCCCAGCACCATCATGTGGCCGAGGATGAGAACGAGAATGAGGAGGAGCTGACAAACGGCGATGCTGGCGGTGATGTGTCGCGCGATTTGGACACTGATGAGCATATCAAGGATCCCATTGAGGACAGACGCACTCTGGCCGAGCGCAACGAACGTTTGCACGATCAGCTCAAGGTAACCTTCTGTATAATCATATTTGTAATGCTGATCTACAACTAACGCACATCATTCTTCTACCATAGGCCCTGAAGCAAGACTTGGCGCAGTCACGTGATGAGACGAAAGAGACGGCAAATGACAAGATTCATCGCGAGAATGTTCGTCAGGGACGAGACAAGTACAAGACACTGCGTGAGATCCGCAAGGGCAACACAAAGCGTCGTGTCGATCAGTTTGAGAACATGTAAAGCAGCAGTTGCAACAACAACAACAACAACTATACCAACAATTAAAACAACAACAAACATGCCACCCTCCCCCCAAAACAAACACCAAACACCAAAACCAACACCACCATAACCACCTCCCAGCAACCACAACACAAAACTAACTCCAACATGTCAAGAATGTGTGTTTTTTTTTAAATAAACAATTACCGTGTATGTATAAAAGAGAAGGAGAGGGCGAAAAATATAGAGAGCGAAAGAGAAACAGAGCGATGGCATAGAGGAGGAGGAGGGAGCAGAACGAGGATGAGGATGAGAAAGAACTTGAAGAAGCGCAGCTTTAGTTCAAATAGACACAACAACAATCCGGCTTCGGTTTGACATTTAGCATAATCGACAATAAATCAAACAAGCAAATACAAAACAAACAAAAAAACAAATAACAACCACAACAGAGGAATTCATGAAGAGAAAAAGAAGAGAAAAGAAGAAGTAGAAGAAGCGGCACACACATCCCAAATAACAATTAATACACATGCAACTTATATGTAGAATGGTCGCAAATTTCGTTTATAATATACAAATATATTTTTAATTGTTTCGCTTTTGTGCGAAACGAAAACTTTTCGATGCGAAGCAGCAAAGTGCTTAAAACAAAACAAATAAGAGTAAAAGTAACAGCAACAACAAAAACATTAACAAAACAGAATGTAGAACAGCAAGGAAGCAGCAACAGCTACAACACAGCAACAGTAACAACAAATCAACTACAACAACTACAACTATTTGCATTTTTCCCCCGTTATAATTATTATTTTTATTATATTATATAATTACTATTTTTTTTAAATTGTATAATTAAATAAGAACTTGATTAATTGTTTCTTAAAATAACTTGCGATGAAAAAGGAAAAAAATATTTTTAATTAATATTATTTAAAAAAGAGAGAAATGAAAATATATATATAAAATATTTTTCTTCCTTATTTTTGTTTTGAAAAAAAAACTTCTTAAAAACAAATTATTGTGAAAAACCAAACAAAGAGTTTTTAAACTAAACAATAAAAATGTAAAACAAAACAAGAAAAGCTGCAGTTGGCAATGTGGGGACACACTTGAAAGAATTAGTTGCTGCGGGGATTTTGTAGCCTACTTTTTGGCACTGCCATTAAATCAGATGCGGACACATTGCTTGCAACGAATACGGAGGATGGTTATTTATAAAAATTTGGCATAGAACAATTGGGAGCAGGTGTTTGCGAAAACTGAAGTATAGGGACAAAGGTACTATAAGCAATGATATGGAATGTAAATTTCAAGCACTGTTGCGATGTATGTAAGGAAATAGTAACTAACTAAGTGATACAGGCCTATTGAAATAAGCGAACAAAATGAGTTGAGCGCGGATAAGATTTTAGGAATTGGTGAAAATAAAACACAAATTGCTGCGACCAGGTAGAGTCGTTAGATATATTTATATAATATATATTTCAAGCGCAGACTGAAGTATAATTTTCGATAACATTTTAAAACAAATTATTGTTCTATAAGCATTTCTCAAATCCTAAATACTTGAAAGGCACAAGTTGTGCAATATTCAGGCGCATTATCAACGAATGGCATCGTTCTCGAGACGGACGGGCAGTTTTCCGTTTCTTGTGCCAATCTGTGATTGGAATGTTAAACATTTTACATTAAACACAACTATTTAAGTGCCCGTCTTAGAATGTCGATTAATTTTTGTACAAGATTATAATCAAATAATAAATAAATACCTATCAATTTTGGAGTAAACAAATGAACTTTATTTAAAGGTTGCTATTTCTATGGTAATCAAAATTTATTAAGATTCGTTTATCTGGCTTTCTTGCATCAGCTTTTCATTCAGGCGCCATCTATTCTGAAGCTTAGCAAGCTCTATCAATCTAGCGGCACTTTCTCCCCAGGGCAGTTAGAAAGCTCTCGTCAGTTGTTTTTTTTTTTTTAAATTTTATTGATGAAAGCCTGCATATGGGCAGAGGCAGAGCTTTTGATTTGATTTTTGATTCAATTGCTCAATGATTTAGTTATTATTGACCATTAAATAAAACGTATCACGATTGCATTACGCGCAGCCATCACTTGACCCACATGGGCGGCCAACACGCCACCGCAACCAACACCGTTAGCTTGTAATTTTGCGTAAGTGCAACAAAAAAGCAACAAACAAAAACAAGAAAGAAAGCGGTAAAGCGTAAGAGGGAAGACACTGCAGGGACATTACATACATATGAATGTACATATTTACAAAAAATGACTATTATCAGTAATGAATAATAATGCTTAATAAGCGACGGCAACCGCCAACTAACGCTCATTACATAAATGGCGCATTGCACTAAATACTCAACAGTTTATGCCGAAACAGTGCGAGACACCGACAGAGGGAGACACTGGGAACAGTGGTTCGCAGTTATTTTCCTACGCGTGACTTGAGCAAAATAAATGCTTGTAGCTTTTCAAGATCTTAAGCTTTGCAATTTTTGTTTCAATATAATCGAACGAAGTACCATTCGAAACAAAACATGTACATATTCGTAAAATCTGTACGATAGTCTTGGCTCTTGTGGTATGATAGTTAACCGCAGTCTCTGTACCTACCCCTTTCCCCACTACAGTGGTTCAGCAAAAAAAATAACTGTTCTATCCATTATTCGAAGGGCTGCTTTATACCGATTTTGATAAAAAACTTCAAAACTGCAAAAGTCTAGATTTGCTTAAGTTAATTTTTTATAAAAAAATCAGGCTAAGTGTGATTTATGCACCGATCGCTGCTATGGCAGCTATAGAAAACAATTGACGCTTTATAATAAACTTGCTCGACGCATGAATAAGTCAAGTCTTAAGACAAGCTCTTATACTTCCAAAGTATTTGGTGTTCATATGGAAGTACAGTTGTATGCCTGTTGGTTAGACTTTCAAGCAAACTTTTTCACCTTTTTAAGTTAGAATCGAAAAATAATTTCATGTTAAATGAAAATGGCTTGCCAATAGACTGGTATATTCTATAATGCAAATATTGGATAATATTCGCCTTAATATATCGCTAGTTACTGAGAGATATAATCATCGATAATCATCGTCTATAGTGCCATAGATAGTTTTGCTGATATTTAGTTTTTTTTTTTTTTTTTTGCTTCAAATTTTTGGTTTTATTCAGTTGCCAAATCATTTCAGTCTACTGTGCGGCAGGTTGTTTTCTTTTTTTTTTGGCCTGTGTCTGGGACCGGGGCAGCTTATTAACGCTAATTGTTGCAGCTAAGCGGGCCAAAATGCGACAAAATTGTTCAAAACTGAAGCAGAAACAGACTCCGACTTTGAAGCTGCTCTTAACTGACCGCCCTGACCGTTCGTTGGCCCCCTTTGGACAAACTTTTTTCGCTTGACAAGATTGCTGGGCATACAACGATGTGTAGATATGGGCGTAAGTGTCACTTTTTTTTTCTTTTTTTTAAATATAATTTTTTTTTTGGCTAGCGCAGACCTTTGCGAGTTATGCAATAGATGGCCAGGGTGATGATTGTGACAATTACGGTTGCGCTTAATGCGATTGCTATTGAAGGCAGTCAGGCAAACAGTCGAATCATTTGGCCCAGACAATAAGGAAGTCTTTCCCAATGGCCACGCACTTGTTGCGCCCTTTTGGCCAACAATGCAGCCAGTTGGCACATCACAATAATCGCTTAACATTTGCGCTACTTTCATTTTCAAACACACATATTGCCAATTGTCAATTGCCAATGTACCATTACCATTCAATGAAGTTCAGTGTACGCGAACCCTAAACCCCAACAGGTACATACTTGTACATACAAGTACATAGATGTTGTGGAAATACGTATAAATTAAACACTGTCTGATATGTAACGAAAGTCTGTATATTTACAGCCCGAGTTGCTTGAGAAAAGAAATCTGTTTGTGTTATTTGTTAACTAAAGTATCCGACCTATAGTAAGCAGACGAGTTAGACAACACATAAAAATATGTATATACATACATACTCTCCAGTGAGACCTACAAAAAATTAAGGCTCTTCATCGAAGGGAATAACGTAGAATATTTAATTGGAGGGTTTGCCCATTTTACGAAAATTCGAAAATTCACAAGAGTTTTAACCACCCGAAGACTTTTAAAATACAAGTAGTTTAATTCTTAGCTTATTAAAGCCTCTTTAGAGTGCATATTTTTCATATGATATAAAACTTTGTAATATAATATAATAATAAACATATGCCATAGAGCTGCTGCTTTTGGAAGAAGCGAAATTTTCGGTTACTCACAGATATTATGATTTAGGAATACTTGCTAATAAGAAGAGAAGCATTTCTTTGCTTTCCTCACCTTCCAAGTTTTCATAGCTTCTGACGAAATCATTGAAATGCAAAAGTTTGGTGCTGTATCTGCCACCTAGCAGACAGTGATCCGTAAATACTCCCAATCAGTTTGAGGAGTGTTGTGGTTCTCTTGTTGTTTTTAATTGGATATTTAGACAGACCAGCATTGCCTGAAGCCTGAGCCTATTGGCATACCGATTCCATCCAAATTAGTAGGGAATTCCGCAGTAGCACCATCGAATGCTTAATCTTGAGTTAACTTTTTAAGTTTAATATACACTTTCGAAGTCCACTCTAGATCTAAATCTAGAATTAAGCTCAACAGTTTAACTTGCAAAGCAACTGTGCTTGGGTTGGAATTTTGTCTTTAAGTTCAAGATGATGGAATTTAATTTCCTCTTTTGAACCAAAGGAGGAGTAAATTATCCAATTAGAATTTACAAATTCACAACTCCCATTTCTTTTGGCTTTCTATATACTATATGTCTTTCAGCATAAGTGCTGCATTTGTGAAGTAGTGAATTTTTCGAAGTCTACTTGTATTTAAGCAGTGCTTTATTCTAGTTTATAAACATTGTAGCCGGAACAAGGATGGCCTTTCTAGCAAGTGCAGCCAAGAAGCAAATTAAACTGCATATATCTAAGGATATTTGGCAATTTTGTTTGGTTGAGCTCTTGAAATATCTGACGTGCAGATATCTGAGCTCTAACCGTTTTAGATTTATTTCATATGCTTCGCTTGTTTATTTTGAGTGAAAAGTTGCATTTTGTACGAACGCTTTTACACTTGTTTGGTGCAACAAGCAATGTTGCAGCAACAGCAACAGCAACGGCAACTGCTGCCGGCAATTGGAGAGCAATGTTGCCGCTTTTATCGCTCTACTGCTCCCATCGGCTAAGTTGTCGGCTCTCTCACATGTAAATCACAGACAGTTGACTCACAAATCAGTGGCATGTTGTTCAGGCCGCCAGCTGTTGCCGGGAAGGCCAGCTGCAACAGCAACAACTTTTACCAGTAGCTGCTTAAATTGCCATTTGAACTTTATGCTGCAGTTGCGAACGAGTTTATTGTGGGAGTAAGTCGTGCCAATTCGATGCGTTGTGAGAGTTTCTTCTTTTGGCCACGGCAATCGCTGTTAACTGTGCGCAAATTATCATTAGCGGCGCTTATCAGCCCAATTGGCCAACGCCCACACAAGCACACAAACCAACGAAAAACAAATACAGGCCCAAAAGCCACCGTTTAGCTTTGCGTAACAACAACAATTGGCAGCAGCAGCAACAACAACATTTTTTCTTGGCTTTCCCAGCAAGTCACGACAAGCGCGCAACCAATTTTCTTGTCACCCAAAAAACGAAGCAGCACACGCAACAAAAAAATAAAAAAGTAAAACACAAACCAACAAACAATCAAATGGCCCAACAGCAAAGAGATGCCCAAAAAAAGTGTGGAGCGGAGGGCCAGGGGACGGGGGCAGGTGGCAGGTGAAGCGACGTCTACGACGATTGCACTCTGCTGATAAAGTTTTGTCGCCTGCACTGCAAAAAATAAGAGACCATAGAAATAGATATAGAAATAGAAAAGCAAATATGAATAAAAAACTGAGATATAGGATGAATAGAAAATCGAGAACAGAAATAGAAATAATAAAAAGAAAATAGCAATAGAAATAAAAAGGAAATCAATAGAAAATATAATCTCTACAATTGAATATAATAAAATATAAACATAGTATACAGGTTCACATCCATAGAAATAGATATAGAAATAGAAGAGCAAATATGAATAAAAAACTGAGATATAGGATGAATAGAAAATCGAGAACAGAAATAGAAATAATAAAAAGAAAATAGCAATAGAAATAAAAAGGAAATCAATAGAAAATATAATCTCTACAATTGAATAGAATAAAATATAAACATAGTATACAGGTTCACATCCATAGAAATAGATATAGAAATAGAAGAGCAAATATGAATAAAAAACTCAGATATAGGATGAATAGAAAATACAAATAGAAAATAGAGAATAGAAATAGAAACAATAAAAAGAAAATAGCAATACTTGTAGAAATCAAAAATCAATAGAAAATATAATCTCTATAATTGAATAGAAAATACAGATATAGTATAGAAAAAGTAAATAGGAATTAGATAATAGAAATGTTCCAAAAATATAAATCGATTAGAAAATATAAAATAAACTCAAAAGACAATATTCATCTAATTATTAATTAAAAATATGTCTTTTTTTAATATTGTACTTGTAGTTCGTTTTTAGTTTCCTGAACGAGAATTTCTACTTCATAGCATCGCAGTTCCTGAAAGTCCCTTGTTGACCTCCAGACACCCTTAACCATGGCCCTGGTCTTTAATTTAAAATTATACTATTATCATTTTTTTCTTAAATTCTTGGATTTATGTTATCTATGAATTGTAAGTATTTGCTTGAGTTCATATTTTCTTTGCTTCTTTTAATTACATTTATGTTCTTCTTTAATTTAAGAATTTCCTTAATGTATACATATATTATTTTGTTTATAGATATCTCGATAAGATCACTTATAATACGTTTGTTTAACTTTTTTTCTAAGCCTATAATGTAAATAATAAGTAATAAGTAAGATGTTGTAGATTTTCTAATTTGTTTCTTTCTAGCTAGCCTTTTACGGTATTGCAATATCCATTAAAAAGCTTCCTTGCAACACATTTGTGGAAAGTTCAGAATTGCAATGAGAATTGCTTAGTTAAGTTAAATATTGAAAGTAAAATTATTCCGATTTTCGAAACATTGTAAAACTTTCTGCATGTGAAAAGAAATAGCATTTAAGCCCAGGAAATAAGTCTTATAAAGTGTTAATTTTAAATAGATATAAATATATAATATATTTCTAAAACAAAGGGTTACAAGGATTTGAAATAAGACAGAATTTAAAAGATGGAATTCGTTTTAAAATCTTACTATCATCGTTAATTTGGGACGGATTTTTGGGTGCTTTGTTTCCGAAACCTCCTAGATCGAATAGCAGAATAAATTAAATTTTAATTTTTGGTATAATCCTTTTGTATATTTTCTCCGAGCTATTTTGGAAAATTCTTGCAGTGCTCCATTGTTGTTGTTGGTGCCGTTGGCAGCGCAGCGAAAATGCGCAAAAATACAATAATAACAACAACAAAAACAATGGCAATAACGGTAGTTGGAGTCGCAGCGACAATAAATAAAACTTAACGAATGGGTCGTCGTGGCCGCCGCCGATGCCGCCAACGCTGACGTCAACGTCGACGTCAATGCCGACGACGACGACGCCGACGCCGACTGAGAAGCTCGTCGCTTGACTTTATTTATTTTATTTTTTTTCAGTTTCCATTTCATTTTTAAGCTAACGCTCGGCTCATGCAGCGTTTTAATATTTAATTGTGTCTGAGCGTGTGCGGTTGTTGTCTGTCTCTGAAGCTCGGCTCGTCGGAAGCTCCAATTGTCGGACATTAGGCGCGACTTTTGAATAAACGCGAGACTGCAATATTTTCTGCCTCTATTTATTTATTGATTTTTTTTGAAGTGCCCATCAGGATTACAAAATTTTTGTGTGTTTGTGTGTGTGATTAAAGAGATATAAAAAGATATACAAATTGGAAAAATCCTGTGAAATGACGAATTTATGGGTCCATGCCGGTAGCCTGTTCTTGCTGCTGTTGTTGCAACAAACAGAAATTAGTGAGGCACGCAGCTATAACAACGGTCTCATATTCTACGATCTGCGCACGCGCACTCCCTATTTGCCGCCCACAGTGTCCGTGTCCAGAGGCCGAAATCTGGCCAGTGTCAAGTATTCGGAGAAGGGCTCCATTTGGTCAACCTTCGGCCAGCCCTGCGATTGTCGAGGCCCCACATGCGGCTGCTGTGCGGGTCTCAAGGTGGATCAGTACAAGTTCGATCAGAAAAGTAAGTACCAAGCAGGGACTATCATCGGGTATTGACAAAAGAGAGTGCCTCAGTCTGTGAATTGATTAACTAATTTGCTAAATTATATGTGAAGGAATTAGTAGTGTGAGAAAAGTGAGGGTCTCAAGGTGCATCGGGCGGGGGCTATTACTAAGGAAAGGCAATATCAAAAAATTGAGAATAATTCCTCAGCTGGTGCCTATATTGCTCAATTAAAGATAAAGCAACATATATCCCATTCAATGTCCTTTTAAGCGTAGCATTTCCTTGCCAACTATTTCAAATCAGCATGTCTCAACATTCATTGAAAGATTTAAACGTTTTCAATATTTATCTATTGGAAAATCATGATAGAACGAGCTAAAAATACATTTTTATATAGAAATCCAAGAATTTTGCTCCCAAACAAATTTCAATCGAGTTTTGAATAAAAGAATTTCAGTAGTAGTAGAAAATAAAATGATTTATAAAAAAACGCTATTCGTTTTTCAAAAATGTTTTTCGATTTTTAACGATATTGGACATCCAGCATGAGATGTGTAGTTTGAATGCTAATAAATAAAGTTGGATGATGGATTTAAATTAAAATTGATTAAAAATGTTTTCGCGCTACTATGATTGTGAATTTGTAAGGAAGGCTTAAGCAGAATTATTAAAAAGAGGCGAAGTAGAAGTTTTGACAGTGCAAAATGTTTCATTAACTGTTAAATAAATAAATTATCTAATCATATTTTATAAATATGTGATTCTTGTATTAAAGCTGCAAAGGGAATTCATTTTCTAAGAAGCCCACTAGCTGATTGGTCAGTTTTCAATCCAAGCAGTTCTCTTAAACTGCAATACTCATATATCAGTTAATGAATAAAATCGCCTTATTTTCCATTAATGCTAAAATTTTGAAAGTCTAAACTAAATTATTATTTAATAATATTAATGATTATTTAATTGAAAGTACAGTAACTAAAGGGATTCCCTTTTAAATTAATTCCAAGCTTTTCATTCTGTGCCTCTTCTGTTCTTAGTATACTTTGCGATCTTGAGAATCGTTTGTCTATAATATTTGTTTTATGTAAACACAATCTCTCTTAGTATGATAACATTGTTAATTAAGATAACGTGAAAAAATGTAATATTTATAGGTTTCATGTAGGGCCGCCGCATCAGCTAAATTTTGATTTAAACCACAATATCACTTAGTTGTCATAGGAGCGATCGAGGAAGTTTAGTTTTGTTGCAGGACTATAGCGAGAAGAGGAGGCGCATACAGAGTATACAAGAGTCGGGCACATGCCACTTTAACGTTCTACTTGTCGTTTCTTTCTTCTGTCTTGCTCTGGGCATTAACTAGATTAACATTTGTGTCTGCGCATGCGCGCCGGTGGCATTAAACTATTTCAACAATTGCAGACACCAACACACACACACATACGTACGTAAATAGATATATACATGCACATGCTTGTAGACTCTCTGACAGGTGGATAGACAACAGCTGGGCTCACGTGACATTGTTCCATTGCCAATCAAAATGCCGCAAATTGTTGAAGGTCTTGCATGCAGCGTCAAACAGTTTTGCATGCGTTGGAATGTCAGCGGCGCTTTCATTGAGCATTCTTCCCCTTGCCCCGTGCCCCTTGCCCCCTCCCCAACAGACTTACTTTCTTCTCATCATCTTCGTCTTCTTTATTTTTGTTTTTTTTTTTGTTTTTTACACCAGTGTGTGCCAACATCACATTTGTGCCCCAACTGGAGGAGGCACAGCTGGAGGTCTTCATGAACGGGCGACCATCATCCAAATATGGGATATCGGTGAGAAATCCGTCGCCCTTCTGCATTCCCGTTATGATGGGGGTGCCGATGGCGATGTGCGTACAAATGACCGATATCGCCATGGTGGGCAACAATCTGAATATGTGCATGGACTTTGTGGTGCGGCTGGCGACCACGGATCTGTTCGAGATGCATTTCCAGTGCATGCGCATGGGTCTCGATGGCATACAGTATGTGGACAAGAATGGACAGCCCGTGTTGCCCAGCAGTGCAAAGGAGGAGGAGGTGGCTCAGGAGGAGGAGGAGGAGGAGGATTACTTTGCGCCAGACACTAATGAAGGCGCTGTGGAGTATGACTATGCGGGTGAAGCTGAGGCGGAACTGCAACAGGAAAAGGAGCAGCAGGGGCTGGAGCCCACAGATAAATTGTTGGTGGTTGTGCAGGACACGGTGTCTGAGGAGGAAGAGGAGCAACAACAACAACAACAACAGCAACAACAGCTGGATTCAGTGGTGGCTGCCTATGTGCCACAACCTTTGCCAATTGAAAGTGAAATGCTTATGGCCGTTGATAACGAACTAGCCGGCGAGCCGCTTAGCGAAGACAGCGACATGGACGCGACAACAACAACAACAACAATTGCTGACAGCTACAGCGACAACGACAGCAGCAACATTAGCAGCAATACCAGCGACAGCAACCACAGTGGCAGCGAGAGCGACTTAAAGCAAAACGAAGTAATTGAAACAATTACCAATTCAATAGAAGCAGCAACAACAGCAGCAACAACAACAACAACCACAACGACGGCACCAGCAACAACGACGACGACGACGACGACAGCACCAGCAACAGCAGCAACGACCACAACAACTACTACTAAGCCAAATATTGCCGTTATTGATGACATGAACAATTACACAAACAATAGCGATACAGACGACAACAACAACAACGACAACGACAATGATAATGATAATAACTATGACTTGGAGCCGGCGGCAGCCACAAAATTGGAGGCAGTAGCGCCTTCGGACAACAACGATGTTGCTGACGCTGATGTTGCAGCGCTGACGGCCGAAATTGATGAAAACGTCAGTGACAATGAGGTGAATATTGATAATGATGAGCAGCAGGAGGAGGTGGCTGAGGATGGGGAGGAGAAAGAGGAGAAAGAGGAGGAGGAGGGGGAGAAGAAGACAGGTGACAAAGCAGCCAAAACGGAAACTGAGCAGGAGAAAGAGAAGCAGAAAGAGAAGGAGGTCGAAGCGGTTAAAGAGACTGAGACAGAGTCTGAAGCAGAAGCAGAAGCCGACACTGAAATGGAAATGGAAATGGAGGATGAGGAGGCTGAGGCGGCTATGGAGGGTGCTGATGACAGCAGCGCAGGCGCAGAGACTGAAGCTGAGGCAGCCGATAATAGTAATGAAAGCGTTACAAGCAACGACAATGCACCCGTGGCGCCCAACAATAGCGCCCATAATGACAAAGAGCCAAAGCGAGAAGCCGTTGATGGCCATGTTAATGGAGCAGCAACGATGGCTAATTACAGCAACAACAACAACAACAGCAACAGCAACGAGTTGGTGGAAAATGCAGCGCCGTCAACGTCGATTTCAACGGCGCAGCAGCAGCCATCGTTGAGCGGCTATCAACGACGCTTGCGACTGCGACGCGTTTTATAAACTTTATATGCAAATTTCAGGCCGAAGAGGCGGATGTGGAGAGTGACTAGATGGATGGTGGGCAAGGGGCCGAGGCATAGCCGAAGAAGTTGCAGTTAATTGTTGCAAACGGTCAACGCGGTGGAACAAACATAATCATGCAGCTAATTGTTATTGTAATTTATTATAATGAATTGTTAATGTTTTGAAATGTAAATGCGAATGCTTGTTATGCTTATTTAAATAATTTTGTTTTAGTCTAATAGTGTTTTTTTTTTTTTCTTATTTACTTACTCTGTTAACTATTAATAAATATTTATAAATAATTTATTTAAAAAGCCACATAATGTTTACAATTCATAAAACGAGAGAGAGAGGGGAGAAAAAAATACAAAATTAATTAAACATGTTATTTAAATCAGTAAATATTTTGATTGGGCCAAAAAAGCACTGCTTACTTGTATGATAAAAAAAAAATGGTCTAAAAGTATTGTTGTTTTCGTAAAAAGACGTGGTAAACTAAAATTTTAAGAAATGCCGCAAAGCGAACAATAACAACAATAATAAAATCAATATTCGTGAACAGATACTGTAATGATACAGTTTTTCATTGCCACTCTTATTGATTTAGTTAATGTTGTTGTTGCTGCTCGACAGCATTGCCAGCTTATAACAACAGCATTGCCAACTGTCAAAGAGATGGCGGCAGCGTTGCCAGCTGCAAATTATTACGATAGACTGCTGGTGGTACCTATAGAGGTGCTGCTAGCTCCCCGGTTGGAAAGAGCCGTGGACGTACGTCCCTTTCGACGAGGCTTTCGCACACTCTGATCCGAGAAACGCATACGCCGTGTCTCCAACTCATGATCGTTGACCATCGAGCAAATTTTTAAGTAGGCCGCCAGCTCGGGAGACTTGAGCTCATTCGCCAATATAGTGGCCTTAACGAGGGACTCCCTAAGACGTTCCAGCCGATTGAGCGCCGCATGCACCTGACACACCAGAAATGTGCTATTGAATCGCCAAATAGTGCTGTTGCAGTGACGCGACTCTGAAAGCAGAGCCAACATGGTGAGTCCACACCACAATCCTTCAATTATCAGACTTACCCGCAATCGCTTTGCGTGCCATAATCATGCACTTGTCAAAGCGAAGCTCCTGCAGGTAACTCCGACCGATTTCGAAGCACAAAAACGTACGCTCAACAGGATAGCGTGTGCCGCGATAGCGCGCTTCCAGCAAATCGATTCGCTGGCTAGAATACAAAAAGTGGAAAAAATTAAGAAATATTATGAGTCCTAACCTATTTACATTTAAGCATAAATAGTTATCTCTCGTATACTGAACTGAAAAATGCAAATAATTCTTTTTTTTAGATCTACTATATATAAGAGAAATTGTCTCTATCTTCAACTGGCAAAAGAATCAGCTTCAGAGATGATTATCCTAGCAAGGAAGGCACTTTAATTTTCTCAACTTACGTTGCACGCTTGTGCGTTTCCTCATCTTTGGCCATTTCATTGTAGACATTGGGACCGCCAAAGAAAAAATGTGTTTCCTTAATCTTTTCCGGTGGCAGCAAGTAGAGGATTCCACGATTCTTCGGATCAAGCAAGTCAACATTCTTGGGCAGAGCACATCGATCGACATGGGCCAGCGCCAATGTATTGTAAACCTCGTTAATGAACTCCAATTTCCAGGGGAGTATGCGTTGCGTCTTAAGCGCAATATAATTGGCCATAATATCGTTCACATAGCTGGTGAGACGATCGATGTTGCCCTCGCGCCTCAGCTGCCGAACCTCACGCAATATACGGAAACAGTCGCGTCTCGTTTGGTTCTCCACACGAAACAGATAATTTTCGCGATTCTTTTCACAGAAACTCTTCCCACGACACTTTCGATAGTTTCGACAATAGAGTGGCGTGCGTGCGTGCATCATTTTCTGATGGTAGGGTATACGATTAGAGAGCTGTGGTATTAAATATGATATAGATGGGTGGGTTCGTACCATAAACTTGCGCACAGTCGCATAGTTATTTATGCTGAGATCACGCAGAATGGGTGCCGACTCCCGGAGCAGCGGATTGACAAAGTTCTGATCGGAGCGAAGGGTACGCAATAGGGCCACGTCGTAGGCACTACGACCCAAATACTGATAGTTGAACACATTGTTGTACAAGCGACGACGTGCACGCTCTAGCGGCGATATGTATGTGACCTCCTTGTCCATTATGCTCTGCACATCGCAACGATTCTGCTCCTTCAGCACTTTCCAGAGCGGACGTTGGACGAAGGACTCGGCGGCGCGACGTTGGCGTACCACCTCTTGTATGGCCCCCATATTTTCGTGCATAAAGGGGCCCAGAGTCTCACCAAGAGCATCATTGAACACACTTAGTGTCTGTGTGAAAGGGCATATTAGTTATCTTTTGGGAATTGTTGGGTTCATAGAAGACCACTAAGTACATGGTAGACTTATCGGACTATCGATTACACAAGCGATAGTAGCGTTACATTTGGTTCTACTTAACTATCGATGAAACGAATATTGTAGGTTAGTTTTGAAAGAATGGAATGGAATCGAATATACTTGTAAATCTAATGATGCTTAGCATTAATTAATTCTACTGAAGGGTTTACTTAAAAGCAGAAAATTAAATTATGGCGTTCGTTGTATGCTTTTCAGTTTTTTATTGAGCGCTATTTTAAGGATTCTTCAATATGTGGAAGAAACTTTCTCGAAACTTTCGAGTGGTATCGCAGTTGTTGATATTTTTGAACAAGTAAACCCCATCCTACTCACCCGCTGTCGCCTGAGCTCGAGGAGATCAGCAACATTTCTGCCCGATATTTGGCGCGCTTCAGTATAAATAGTTCTCAGATTATCCTCATAGCGATTGGCACAGTAGAGTGCATCGCACTCTTCGAGTGTTGCAGCAGCGCGCTCCTTAACGCTGCTGCTCTCGTGCATCAACATCTTGGCCAACTGGGCGTCTTGGACCGAGCGCTCGGACTGGGCAATGGCTCGCCAGGTGTGACTCCGTCTGGCTAGCGTGCGGAAGTCGTCACTACAGGCGCCGGTCATCTTATCATAGCAGATGCGCTCGTTTCGCGTTTGACGGGGATGGGGCTTCACGCAGGTCGGCCCCATGGGCACATCGTTGCCCTTGCAAATGGCCAATGCCCGGCCATAGCACTCGAGCGCCTTTTTATTGAGCAACTTTCGTGTGTAGTACATGCCCCAATCGCGAAAGAGGCGGGCCTGGGCGCAGGAGCCCCAATCGATGCGTTGCCATGGCTTCAGATCTGGTTGTGTTTGGATTGTGGTCGATTGTACTATGGAGCCGATTGTTGCGGTCGTCGATTCCGACATTGCAATTCCTAGCTTTGATTTCACCTTGTTGCTAATTTGAAGACGTTGCTCAAATGTGTGAGTTTGTGCAATCAATTTTGTAAGAACAATTTAGCGATACGTGGTACAAATTTGGGAACAAGCGTAAATTTTTCTAACGCATGTGAAAAACAAATTTTGAATTCAAATAAGTTTGAATTTTGTTACAATGATGATTGTCTCTGCTCCCAGACCTCCATTTATTCACGGTGAGATTCATAATTGAGGCAACACAGTGTGGATGGAATGTTCTGTGGAAGCCAAAAGAACTGTGTGATTGATATTCGATGGGAGTTCAGATTTTAAATGAGTTCCAATGAGTGCTCTTCAAGTGTGTACTTCCAATCTGATCTTCTAATAAGAGTTCCCAGTAAGCGGGCTCCAAAGAGTTCTTTTATTACATAGTTCCACTAAGTAGTTCCAGAATTGACTGCCAATGACGTTTCTTGTTGAGTTTCCATGCTTCCAGTCACTGTTTCTTGCGAGTGCTTTTCCAAATTTTTTCCACTGCGTGCTTTCAGCATATATTCTTTTCGTAAATACTTCCAGTTAGATTCCAGTGAACGCTTCCAATAAAACTTCCAATGAAGTATTTCAGTAAGTGCAGGCTTCCAACAATTCCAATTCCAATTCTATGCTTCCAGTCACTGTTTCTTGCGAGTGCTTTCCCAAATTATTTCCACTGCGTGCTTTCAGCATATATTCTTTTCGTAAATACTTCCAGTCAGCTTCCAATGAACGCTTCCAATAAAACTTCCCATGAAGTATTTTAGTAAGTGCAGGCTTCCAACAATTCCAATTCTATGGTTCCAGTCACTGTTTCTTGCGAGTGCTTTTCCAAATTTTTTCCACTGCGTGCTTTCAGCGTATATTCTTTTCGTAAATACTTCCAGTCAGCTTCCAGTGAACGCTTCCAATAAAACTTCCCATGAAGTATTTCAGTAAGTGCAGGCTTCCAACAATTCCAATTCCAATTCTATGCTTCCAGTCACTGTTTCTTGCGAGTGCTTTTCCAAATTTTTTCCACTGCGTGCTTTCAGCATATATTCTTTTCGTAAATACTTCCAGTCAGCTTCCAGTGATTACTTCCAATAAAACTTCCCATGAAGTATTTCAGTAAGTGCAGGCTTCCAACAATTCCAATTCTATGCTACCAGTCACTGTTTCTTGCGAGTGCTTTCCCAAATTATTTCCACTTCGTGCTTTCAGCGTATATTCTTTTCGTAAATACTTCCAGTCAGCTTTCAGTGATTGCTTCCAATAAAACTTCCCATGAAGTATTTCAGTAAGTGCAGGCTTCCAACAATTCCAATTCCAATTCTATGCTTCCAGTCACTGTTTCTTGCGAGTGCTTTTCCAAATTTTTTCCACTGCATGCTTTCAGCGTATATTCTTTTCGTAAATACTTCCAGTCAGCTTCCAGTGAACGCTTCCAATAAAACTTCCCATGAAGTATTTCAGTAAGTGCAGGCTTCCAACAATTCCAATTCCAATTCTATGCTTCCAGTCACTGTTTCTTGCGAGTGCTTTCCCAAATTATTTCCACTGCGTTCTTTCAGCATATATTCTTTTCGTAAATGCTTCCAGTCGGCTTCCAGTGATAAAACTTCCCATGAAGTATTTCAGTAAGTGCAGGCTTCCAATAATTGCAATTCTATGCTACCAGTCACTGTTTCTTGTTTCAGTCAGCTTTCAGTGATTGCTTCCAATAAAACTTCCCATGAAGTATTTCAGTAAGTGCAGGCTTCCAACAATAGCAGCTTTCTGCTCCGCTTCCAGTTACTCCACTCAAAGAGTTTTTTTTACTGAGCTCTTCTATGTTACTTCCAGATTTTGTGTAATTTTTCAGAGAATACTTTCACAAGCCACTTACAGAGCGGGCCTTCAGTAAATTGTTTAAATAAACTCTTTCAGGCATTCCAGTGAAGGTGATTCCCTTAAGTACTTCCACTGCATTGTTCCAGCGAGTGATCTTATTCACAATATTGAATGTAAAACAACTTGTTTGCATTATTTTCCATGGCCAACACTAAATCGTTTTTCACACGATCTGAGCCAACAAATATATAAATGTCGTAATAACCGAATAAGCTGACAAATTGCGCTGAAAACGCGCCCTAAAGAACGTGGGCGCATAAAAACAGAAAATAACTGAGGAAAGCAGCAATTAAAAACCCAGCAACGACAACAACAACAGATACTACACTAATGCGAGCACAAACAAATAAAAATTCATAATCGAGCTATATTATATAATTTTTGTTTCTTTTGTTTTACGCCTTTGGCAGCCAACGGCATAATTATTATTACTATTTTTCTTCTTCTTTTTTTTTCATTTTCGTCGTTATTTGTGGTAACTTCTTTTTTTGTAGCCTTTTGTTTTTGTTATTGGTTCGGAAGCGGCCTATTTTCACGCACAGCGATGATTATAAGACAATTATTACAATATTTGTTTATAAATTTTAATTGCTTTTATTTTCTACACCATCTTTTCCCCCTCGTACATGCCTTTTGTTGTTTTGCATAAGCGCGAGTCGTCAATTCAATTATGCCGCCAAGAGCTGGCAGCGTCTGCCGTCTCCGACTGACAAGTTTGTCTATATGTCTATATAAATATCTACATACGTATGTAGTATGTGTGTGTGTGTATGTGTATGTAATTCTCTGTTCATTTGTATGCCGATGTCGCTGTGGGTGTCGCGATAAACACTTTTTGCGGAAAGAAAGTAAAAGCTGCCAAATTCAATTGTGCGCGCATGCATCGAGGAGGCGAGAGGGGCGGCCGAAAAGGCGGGCTGCCGGGCTGTCGGGCTGACGGGCTGATGGCCGGGTTCGTGTATTGAACGGATGGTCTGGTCGTTCGCACACTCAGGTGCCCAGAAAACCACTCCAGCGTCAATTAAATGGGTTTTTTTTCTTCTTTTCTCTGCCAAACGTGCAAAATAAAAAAGTAAAACAAAACGGTCGTGCTGCGCCGGCATGCCAATGAAGTGAATAAAGTTAACACTATAAATATATACGTATATTAGTGTATATATAACTTTTAGAAAACTATAACCAAGGGGCAAGAAAACAAAGTAGAAAAAACTGGAAAAAACACTGCGGGCATTCCGCACAATTTACGTTTCAATAGAGCAATAGTTTAGTGTCTGTTTATACTTAGTAGTTGAAAGTTACTTCAAGTTACAACAGAAATTATTTTAAAGAAGAAATACAATATTGAGAGTAATAATCTAGTCTATTAATGGTCTGTACTTGAATTTCGAAAGCCTGTTCTATAAATATTGTTATTGTTCAAAAAATAATTAAAGACCACTTCGTTGCTTCAATTCATGGCAGTTTCCAATTCGTGGCACACGTACAATAAACTTTGTATGCTCTACGACACAGTTTACAAACTGTTTTACCGAGAATTCTAATCGCCAAAAGAGGCGTGGCAGATGTATGCAGACTCATCGTACACATAGCGAGTTTATTAGAAAAACTTTTCTGTTTATTTCAATATGGAAATAAAATACAATTCACACAACTCGTTATGGAGTCGACAAACGACATCAAAAAAGGAGGAGGTTCTCAATTCGTCTGGTTTTTTGTTTAAATTTATTTTGTTTATGTTTCGAAAAGAAATTAAAGAAATGATCGCTATTGCAAAATCGAAAAAACATAACTCTCCTTATATACGCTATTTGAATAATACATTAACAACATATATTATCGATGGCAACTAATTCCTGAGACCTTCTCATACACTGAACATTTCACCAACTTTATTCAATTATTTAATAAAAAATGTTAGCTTCCAGCCTTGGTTGTATATGAGTTGCTACTAAGATGTGATTAGTTGAAAATAATTTGATATTGCATTTATAATTTGTAACTAATACTTTTGTATTATATCTATTTATTTAATTATAATTTGCAATTGAGTTTTTTTGTGCAAACGTAAAGAAATATATTTCACAAAGGCGTATCTATAAATAAAGTGATAGCTACATAAAGAATCTAGTCTGTGTAGATGTTGAAGTGTTCGCCTGCTTTAGTATTGAATACCCACACGGTACCCACACTTTTTCCACACTGTACCCACACTTTTCCCCGCTTCAATATGATATACCGAGCTTACCGTTTTATTATACTATATATACATTATTATTGGTAGTCTTTTGTTACGATGCTTAAATAAATAGAAACTCTTTTAGTATTGTAATTGATTTCTGAACCGATCGTTTCTATGGCAGCTACATGATATAGCTTATCGATTTTGATTAAACTTCAGATTATGATTAAAGAATCCAGAAATACGAAGTTAGTTTAAGACGTCATACAAAGTTTGATTTTGGCACCAATAGGTCAACTATACAAGTATAACATACTTGTATTGATGCTGTATTTATTTTGTTAACAAACTCGTTCTGCGTATGAATAAAACAACCATAATATTCTTCGTGCTCATAGTATATAGTAGTACATAGTAAGTAGTACTCAATACGTGCCTAGAATGTGGGGTCTGGGACACCTTCTTCTGTCGGACGCTTGCTAGCATACCCTTAAGTAAAAACCTTTGTAGCCTTGCAAATAACCCACTGTCGCTCAAACTGTGGCCCCCAACTGTGCACAGTTTGAGAATTACTTGTTGCTATTAAAAAGTTGCAATGTGCAGAGGTCGGCGCTGACCTTTGCCACACCTTCGTCCAATTAGGCGTTACTCATGCGCCCTGTTGCATGCATAAACAGACCTCTAGTGCCACTCAGCATGGCTTATGGACACACACACACACACACACTTATATGCATATACATATACACATGGCGGCAAGGTTTGGCATTTACTGATGTTTTTTCTGCTCTTTTCTTTGCTTTTCGCTCCGGTTTTCTGTTTTCAGCTTTTCTTGTTATTCCCAGCCAGGTGCAAATTGGACTGAACTCGCCTCGGCTCGGCTCGGCAGGGCTTAGCTCGGCTCGGCACCGCTCAGCGACAGCCAGCGCGGCTTTTGTGTCAACTGATAACATTGTCCACATAGACAAAACCAACAGCAACAACAATAACAACAACAAGAACTAGAACATCTGCGGTTGGGCGGCATCGCTTATGTTGCCATTAAAGGTGCACAGCTTGGCGCTGGCCTTTGCTTTTTACAGTTTGTGTTGCCGTTGTTTTTGTTGTTGTTGTTGTTGTTGAGAGGAAGGGGTGCGAGCGAAGCTGAACATGAAGCAGTAGCAACAACAGCAGCAGCAGCAACATGGTCAACGCTTCATCATGGGCTCGTATGTGGTGAGGCGCGCACAGTCACCGCCAAAAAAGTGTGACCACCTCCATTAACACTTCGTTTGATTTTTTTTCTGATTTCAACGCTTTTCTTCGATTAGATAGAAAAGTCAAAATAAAAATATACGTGTTTTTAAGTTTTTTGAAATTTTTTGATTTTTTATTTTTTTTTTTTTACAAAAAACGATGTGTTTTATTTTTACATTAAAGTTGTATCTGGGGTCAAAAAATGTCTGTAAATAAAAATTTTAAAAACAATTTATTCGTTTTATTAAAGCTTAATGCGACCCCATATTTATCGCATTTTTAGTTATACTTTTTATATTTTAAAATATTTAATACAAAAATCCTCTAATTTGCTTGCATTCCACGAATCACAAAATGGGCGCCAAAAGTGATCATAATTTCAATACACTAGCTTATTTCAGTGGAAGCAAATCAAATACACTTAAAATATAATGTGTAGAACTACATCAAATAGAAACTTTGCAAATTTCGCGCATAAATTGTAAAATAATTGAGTTTAAGCGGTATGTTGCAGATATGTATCTCAGACATACGTAGGGTTAAATGCGAACATTGTGCAATTCACATTTTAAATGAATATTGTAAGTCGCAAGTTGGTTCTTAATTTGTTTAATTTTCGCTTCCTTTCTTTAAAAATCAAATCTCTTTACAATAACCTTACTATATGTTGACAAACAATACCGAACGATCTCTTACTTTCCAGCAAATTTACAATTTCAAAAAATATCAGCACTAATCTTTAGTTTGTTTTAAATTAATTCGAAAAAAACGAAAGATACATTTAGTTCAAAAAATTTGTATTTTAAAGCAGGTATTATTTAAAATTAAATATATACTTATGTATGTATAAGTTTGATAAAAATTTAATTCCAAAATTCTACTTCAATAATCACGGAGTTCGCTTTGCAAATGAGCAAAGTATTTAAAATATTTAATTAAAGCAAACAGGCTATAATTAATTTGAATTAAATATGGAAAACACAGTATAGCATAATGTTTCTATTATAATCCATATTTCGGTCCCATCTATGTTTTTGTTTTTGTCATAATATTCAATTTTTGTTTGGAAATTATTTAATACATACACGTAGTATGTCTGCTTATATAAGCACAGCTAGCAGGAATAACTTGTGTGTGAATTAGAAGTGAAGGGCAGCTATTTATTGTAGTTTTAATCATCTGTATTTCAGTTTTTCAGTTCTGCCTGTTCTTTTAATTTCTGCATAAACAATATGTTGCAAAATATTTTTACTAACTTCAGGGTTAGCCATTCGTTGAAGAAATACATTTTGAACGTCAACTTTGTAAAGCATTTGAAAGGTATTTTTGGTTACTGGACATTAACGATATTTATGGTTCAACTTTAGCGTAATTTGAATAATTATTGTTGATTGCTGACCACGACTGTACTTCAGACATGCAGCGTGCCAGCTGTGTTGAACTGCCATGTTCTAAAGCGAGCTCAGCAGCTACCCAGTCGGACTTGTAAACACAATACAAGTGTTTATCGACGCATAAAATATTTCACTTTCTTTAGTGGAGACAAGACGCTAAATATAATACATAATTTTGTTGTACTTTAAAAACATATATTTCTTTATATACCCTATGAAAACTTAAATATTTTACTTGCTTTTGGGGAGACACGACAATACAAGTATATATAATAATTTTGTTGTGCTTTAAAAACATATATTTATTTATATACCCTTCAATGGGTGTTAAAATAGATCTTTATTCTTCCTTGGTCATTGACCGTGAACTATGTTTAATAACGCTTAATAAGGTGGGCTATGTAATCTTTTATTATGTTTTATTAGAAAGCATTATCTTTCATTAGAAATCACCGATTTTATATAGTCCATTAGATATCATTAGAACATTCTCAATATGCAATTGCAACATTTCCCATAGTTTCAAAAATAAACAAGTTTTAGATGCAAAAATTATTTGTATATTTGTGGTTATATACATAGTTACCTGACATGGTCGGCCTCGATATACTATATATCTGTATTATCTGTGTCCGTCAAAAAGAAACCACGTTGGATGATTACAACATTGCGTTTGGCATTCGCCTCCTCTTGCTGATCATATATGTATGTCTATATATCATTCTTCCTTCTGGATGTTACAACCTTACACCAATAAACAAAATACACTCACACTTTGCAGTGAAGTGTTTGCAAATGGGAAAAATTGCCACGAAAAAGTAAGTCTAATAAACCGAACGCATTCATTTTTAAACATCTTACAGCGAGTTCAACTGGGAAGCCACATATACATAATCAGATATATGTATGTATATGTACACACACACCCACTTACACCGATTTGGAGCTCTGTTGTAAATCGTGCGGCATCGTGCACCGCGCCACAGACACATCGGCAACCTCGTTGCCAGCAGCCTGTGTGGCGTCCAACGGCAGGCACTGGGACTGGCGTCGGCATCGGCAACGGCATCAGCATCAGTTGGCTTTTGTTTCTCATTGTGGCAGGTCGGTCCTGTACGGCCCCAGCACAGATACATATATAAAAAGAATTCAGACGCGTGGAAATCTACGTAAAAAAATTCAGCGGCAGTTGCGGATTTGAATTTTTGATGCGTGGATTTTTTTTTATTGGCAGCCAAGACAGCTTCTTTCTTGAAAGTGAACTCAGCATATTGCACAGGAATACTATATTGTGTCCTTTGTGACTTTGTGCTGTAATTTTTGCTCAAAAAGTTGTCAGTGTGGAACATATACTTACTTATATATGTATATACATTTATATATATGTATATATGTATAGCTAATTAAAAAGTTTGTAACTATGCGTTCTGTTTGCTTCCATCGCTGCTGCTGCCTCTTCAACCTGTAAAGCGTGGCAGAGGGGGCATGCAACGAAGTGGAGTGAAGGGTGTCAAGTGAAGAAGTTAAGGAGTGACCATTGACCGGCGGTAAGTACACAGTCTTTTAGATGCAATCAAGCGGCACACACTGCGGAAGGCTCCCACATATTTTTGCATTTTAATGAGCTTGTAATATACTTGGCTTTTCTCTCGCACTTTCTTTCGATTTTTGTTTGATTTGTTGCCATTAACTTGCAAATCTGCTTAGACACAGGGCTGAAAAAAAAACAAGATTGTGCAAGTCCCTTAATTGTGGGATGCGGTTCAGAAATTCCCATTGACTTTCAAATTTATTTCATATCTTTCTGAAACTACATATTTTTAGCTACATCGGCATTTAAAAAAAATGAAAATGAAAGCGCAATGTAATATGGAGTGTCATATTTGAAATATAAACTAGTAATGAACAATTTCTTAGCAATATTATTGCAATGCATTGTATTCTTGGAAGCTTACGTACAATCTCTTTTATAATTATAATAATGGTTTAGAGCTAAGAAAAATCTTCAAGTTCGTTTTATCGTCTTCGTTTTCTGGTTTCTGGTTTTACTGGTCTACAATTTAGCTGATCTGTATAGACTAGAAATAATGCCATCTTAACATAGAGTCTTAATATAATTTTTGCAATTCATATGATAGGGTTACACAAATTGTCCGAGGATTCAAAATAGTTCAATACAAGTTGAACCGAAAATTGGAAATTTCTGAACGCTTTCTGATCTCTCGGACTGCCTAGGTATGCAACACAATTTGAAAAAGTTCTATGTAAACTAAATGGGTTCAGTTGACACTGTTTTCGTTCAAAATCGGGCTTAAAGTCGCCCGAATCCGGCTGAAAATGTCAAGGACCTTTTTTAAAGCTGACATAAGCTCTAAGAAATCTCTCAGCTTACTCTAAGTTCTTTCAAAATCACACAAACGTTGGCCTTAGTTAAAAATTGAGTAACATATTGTGATTGGAAAGAAAACGATATGTAGATAATAATAAATAAAATTATATGTTGTCCAAAAAATAAAACATTAATAATATAAAAAATTAGTCTATTGGCTTACAATTACTTCAAATTGCAATAAAAGGAAGTCCGAATTTTTAGAACTAATTTAGAACTTCTGAAATCTATATAGTTTCGGCTGCAGCTGCGGAAGTGGCTCAAAAGTGGCTCAAAATCATTTTAAAAGCGCTTCTACATATGATGAACCTTAAAATCGGTTCGAAATGTAAATAACTTTAAAAGGCTGCCCATAAAAAAAAATTGATTAGTTTCGAAATAAATTTAAAAACCAATTTTAACTGAAACCGCTGCAAAACCGCGGCTTAAAAAGTGATTTCCTAAATTATAGTCAGTTTAACTTGTTGGTTAAAACTGCTTTGCTATGCAATTGGTTCGAAGAAGTTCGCCTTTACAGAGCGTTAAAAAGTTGACAAAAACAAGAAGAAGAAAATGCTTAGTTTCAAAATTCTTTCGAAAATCAGTTCATTGGTTCAGTTAGCCAAGTTCGCATAAAACTTGATTTAAATGCTTGCCATCCCTGCTCTGCCCGCCCTGCTCGGCTTGCTGGGCCTGCTCGGCTTTCTGAGCATGGCTGGCTGCCGTCTGCCTTTTCCAGATTTGTGGCGTCGCCTTTTCGTGAATGTCGCCGGCGCCCTTTTTATTGCTCATTTTGTCTTTGTTCGCATAATTGCCGTGACACTGACACTGAGCTGCCCCCCGACGCGTCGGTGCTTGTGGCACGTGCCCCCATTTCTTGCCGCTGGACTCCAATTTGTGCACCTTGCCCAGACGCATTTATCAAGTGGAGAAGCTGTGGCGCTCACTTGACATTTGGTTAGTTAGTTGGTGCCAAACATAAATTAATAACTTCGTCCCTCGCCGAATTTGCTGGCATATTGTTTATTTATTATTTATAATCGAATGCGGCTCTATATTCGGCCTATACTTTGCATAAACAAAAAAAGAAACAACAGCAACAGCAACAAAATGGAAAAAGGAAAAAAGAAAAGGCAAATCGAGTGAACAGCGACGGCATGTGGAAAGCATCAATGCCATTAGTATGAATGTTTCATTTGCTTGGTGGGCCGGCAGCCGGTTGATTATAAATGTCCAGAGGGGCTCGTTCTATTATGCATGATGGGCTCTGTGCGTGTGTATTATCAGTCCCTGCCATCATCCTTACCACCTTCTTCTCCTCTGGCTCTTTATGGGCAAAGTTGGTCCTGTTTCGTAGCTGCTGCTGCCATTGTTGTCATTCAATTTGAAAACATCGTTAAGGTTTATATTTTTAGTGCCTCGGATGCGTGCGTTTTATTGAATTCCGACAGGAGTACATAGTATACACGTATATAGAATTGGTAGACCCTTCTCCATCCATTTGGTCTTGCCAATTGGTTGGCGAAGGAGGGGGGTGTTATATGAGGCGCTGAGTCAATCTGTTGACCCACATTGTTGAGTGGCGCCATGTTGACCGTCAATCAGTTGTCGCCTGTCAGTTGAACTGCAACTAATGTGCAATGCGATAGAGCCACATCCATTATTTACGATCTATATATCCATCTGGCATCCAACTGATGCAATGTAGAGTTGAAAGAAAACGCGGCATGTTTAGTTACTTTTTAACAATTTATAAAAAAAAACAAAACAAAGGAAATGGTTCCGAAGTTCAAAAGTTAATTTGTAGCTCGATTCGGCTTCAATAATAGACTGTCTCTTACATTTCGCTATATTTCAAGTTTCTAGACTAACAACTGTTCAGTTTCTATAAAAGAAAACTAAAGAAACTAACAAATAACAAAGAAATAATTAGAATCAGTTTCAAATCCTAGAGCGGGCTCAATAAATAAACAATAAAGGTCTGCCCTCTTCCATGGGTTACACACATTCACACTTAACTGGTAAAGCTCTTGGGTACAAGATATAAAAAACAGCATCATTAGCATGTAATACATTTATAAATTATTTATTTATTATAACTTTCAATTAGTCGTAAATATCAATGTGATTTTATGGGCAGAGCAATGTAAATGTTATCATTTCAGAAGTAAGTTAAACCATATTTCCAGTTCAACTACAAAAAGACTTTGGAAGATAGTTAATATCATTAAATTCCAAAAAATATTGGCAAACCAACGCGACTGGCAATGTAATGAAGAAAGTCTGTTCCAACAGTTTCAAACTTCGCAGCTTTCTTAAAGTAAATCGAACAAAACACGTTTTTCCAAAAATCAAAACTAAACTTATTAAAAACCACGACATCACATCAAATAATCTGCAGACCTGCCTCAGCGTTCCACGCCTCCATTGAAATTTGAATGAAACTGCCTCCAGCTGGCATCAATAAACTCATATATCTTTATTCGAAACTATTATAAGCCAACAGAGTGGAAAATAGCAACAATTATAAAGGAATACAAAAAGAATTAGTTACTCTACGTGCTTTCTAGCTCAAGAAAGCCTTTCTAAAGCTCGACTTAAGCAAAAAAAAAAAAAGGTCGAGAAATTAAAGCACATGCCTAGAAACACTTTAAGGATAGGGAACTTCGTGGATAAAATAGAACACCATTTAATGACATTCTATTGCCAAAAATCCATACTATATGTATTTTAGTTTAAATGGCATTCATTCAGTTGCAGGTCAGTAAGCTGAGTTGCAATTTGTTTGGCTTATGCTGACTGCCCTGTTCAGGACCTTAGGCTTATCATATATTCAGGTATTCAAATGGTATATGGGTGAATTTTTTGTTAAAAGACTCCTTTAAACATTGTTAGCTAGAAATGCAAGGTGAGAAAAATTCCTTTAAGATGACCATTAATGAACAACAAAGACACTTATCTGCATTATAATTGAAATGAAAAAGCCTTTATTTAACAAATTATATTGAAAATAAGTAGCAAGTCTTCATGTCTTCATCTCCTGAAATGTTCAAACTTGCAACTAAATTAAGCATTTTCTCAGGCTTAATTATTTAACAACAAATCCATTAATCTCAATTGTTTGCCTGCACTCTGCTCCCTTATTACCTGATTATAGTTCGCAAATCGTAAACTCGAATGGCCAATTACATTTTAATGTCAGCTACGATAAAGTGTTCGATATTATGAAGGGGCAATACACTTGATTGTTCAAAGCTTTAACTGGCCATAAATCACGCTTTTAAATGCCTTAACCCCCTCTTGCCCCCTCCGACTTGTCATTGCTGCCATAAAGCAGCCCGCACATTTCGCAATCTGACATGCAAATGCATCCATCTTATCAGATTTCAGTTGCAGAACGACATCTGCAAATTGCGCTTTGTCAAATACTATACATACATATGTATATGTACTTGTATATATGTATATTTGTATATAGTAGGTACGCCTATTTATGCATTTTTGCATATTCGCATATATATTATCGGCAGGTTGCGGAACCAACTGATTACCTTCGTTTAGTTGCGCGGCATGCTGCATAATGTTTGCCTAACCAGCCGTGTGGACGGCTCGCTTGCCAACTGCAACTGAAGTGTCAAGGAGTGGCGTGAAGCCGGCGAGGACTATTCTCTGGTATTACTTTAGCCCGCGTTTGGAGAAGTGGATTTATTTGAAATTGCGTATACGCCCTGTCGCTGGCAAGCAAGCAGAAATAGGTGAGGACGTGCCTGCCATACTAGTATGTACAGCAGGCGCCTCACAATTTTGTTGCTGCTGCCATGAAAAATTCATATGTTTGAGTGATTTTTGCGCTGAGCGTTGAGTCAAGGTGCCACACGCTCGTTTGTGCCCCAGTCAGATACCCCCAGTCAATGCCCGTTACACTCGCCAGAAAAATTAATTTCGAAATCAATTTCATTCCCTTTCCAAGGTGAAGCAATGAGAAACAAATTTGACAATATCTAGATCATTATCATGATAGAAAAGTTTTCTGTAAAGCAAATAAGAACTTTAAAAAATGTTCACTGATGACTACTATCTAGAAAATAAATATAGTTCCAATAAAGGTATAATTTTACAAAACTTGGAACACTCAGCAAAACAATTTATTTCAACATTAATTGCATTTCATTCAAAGGT